AGGGCACACCTTGTTGATAACATCGTATGGTAGATTAGCTTTGCGCTTTAAACTCCATGAGGCAAGGCGATTACTAGCCCGTTTGTTGTGGATCTTTCGAAGGACTTTGCAAACATTACGCTTCAGAGCGGTCATATGATTGAACTTGTTTCTGAAACTTCACAGTTCGATATTTTATGCATGATCACCTGTAAAACATCGATATTTCCTCTTGTATCCATATTCCACATTCCATCGGTCGCAGTGATTATTGAGAATAAGTTTCAATCGATTGCAATCTGTGGTATATGGTCTATGCTGTCGCTTTTTCTCTCCTGTCTCGTCATCCCCAAAGGTGTTTTCTTTGGCATACTATTGGTCGTTTAATTGAGAATTTTAAGGCAAATTATCCTTAATAAATGACTAAACCTTCTGCAGAGCTGTAAACTATTTTTATTGTTACTTAGTAGCTTCTGTTTATTAATTTTTAAGCTAGTTTGAATTTGTGACATGATGGGAACAAACTTTAAGGCTTTGCCTTACTTCGACCGTTTGGACTACATGACCATGATGTGCAGTGAACAAGCATTCGCATTGGCAGTCGAGAAGTTGCTCGGAATCGACATTCCACCTCGAGCGAAATGGATAAGAAGTATGAATATATTTATTATTTCTTATCTACCCATATTTCATGTAAAATTAAGCATTAACATCCGTCGTATTACTTATACTTCAGACAGTGCGTCATGGGAATATTAGTATGTTGGTTGATATGTGTCAAATACTGTTGAAGCTGTTTTTAAGGCAACGTCATGAGTTTCTCTCGAAGATATAGCCAAGTATCCTATGTTTCCGTTTATCTCTCATGGATTTCATTGCAGATGTTTGTTCGATTTGTTTCTTCTTGCGATATCGACCGAAATATCTGTTCCCGGCTATCGTTTGATAGCCATTTACTGTCCGTTGCTTAATTAACCGTTTTGGTAGAGTTTGGTCAAGAAGGTTTATTAATAGTGAGTTTTTATTCCTTCGACCACTGTGTTTGCATTTTTATAATTCCCGGAAGTACGGCAACGCTGCGGAAATTAAAAGTCATCTTCAGATTTCTTGTGGTACCGAAATATTTTATTCTCACCTAAGCTTTCTACCGTTAGTGGCTTCTTCGCTGAGAATGGTAGCGGGCAAAATACAGGATTTTATGACCGAGCGCAGTTTTTTTTAGTTTGTACCCCTGAGTTGTAATGGTGGCCTGGTGACACAGTGCCTAAGATACCAGCTTCGAACTACCGAGGTGCCGGATTCGATTCCACCGGAAGGTAATCTTAGTCATAACCACTATTTCCTTTGAGAAAGGAATTTACCATGCGTTGCTTCAGACAGGGGTTAATCCATCGATAGAGCGTCGAACTCGAAACCGAGGTTCTTGCGTTCGAGTCCCGATCGTGGTCGCTCTTTTTTCCTCCTTCTCAATCTGATAAAGAAGTACCAGTTTGTGGGAAGGAAATCTACAACTACCCGCAGTGCTTGCCATGTAGCTGCTGTCGACTTTGCCTTTAAAAATAGTAAGGCTCTCGCGGCTAATGGCATGGAAATGGAGAACAGCACCCTATCCTTAACTACATGAAAAGAAGAACGTAAGAATGACCCAATCAGGAATGAGTAAGGAAGACTCACATTCCTGCGGTAACAAACATTTCTTCCTTTGTTCTTCCTAAGCTGCCATGGCTGTTGTGTATATG